TAGGGGTGTTGGGTGGTTTTAGCTTAAGCCTAAATCCCCCTTGAGCCTCATCTCAACCTCCCTTTATTAAGCCTGAACCGACTCCGAACCCTAGAGCCCAAGCCAGCCCACAAACCCTGGGATCCCCCACTTCCCTTCTAACTGAGTCAAAGCCATCCAGGCCCCAAGCCGACCCAAGAGGCCCCAATCTACCGAACCTTGGTCCGGGGGGTCACGGATCCCCGATTACTCAGGCCGAACACTTTTGGTCGGGGGCATTTATTAAGTAGGCCGCCACATTATGCTGCATTCTATAAGACAGATTCATGTTCATATTGCTGGGAAAAAAAGCGACATACAAGACACAGCATAGATATGAAAAAAGTTGCAAACCTGAAAGAATCGGCAGCAGAAGCATAGCTACAGCATCGGGACTGGCTGAACATGTTCACGTTGACATGGCCGGAACACGAATGGCTGGAAGTGGGACAGACCGGGATAGACCTTGTTTAACATGTGGCAAACATCTCCTTCGCACGACAAATAGAACTCGAATGATTATGTTTGCATATGTTTGCCGCTTGTGTCATGATACCTTCAGAATGTAGCTTGTGCTTGTTCGTTACCACAACATCTGTCTTGCACATGTTGCCGCAGATCTCCGCTTTGTTCCAGACTTGCAATTTCTCTTGGAAGTTTGTGACATGACAGCAGTCACTTTCCAGCAAAGCGTGAGAATAACTCTGAACAACGTGGGTTTAGCAAGCAAAAACCACAATGCACCGAATAATAGCACGCCAACGCTCGCAAAACGAGATAGTGACTAGTGGTGGGCTTTCCAAAAACAAAAGACGACGACGACAACAGACAAAGCAGCAACAACAACAACAACAACAACCACCGCAGCGATGATATGCGGGGAAGAGATTCGGCAAACACCTAGCTGCGATGCGCTACCTCGGCTTCGTCGCTTGATGCTTCTTTTCTGTTTTTGGTTCCTGTGCTCCTGCCCTGCAAGACCACAACAGTAGCTCTCCATTTGTTAAAACTTCGATACTCCCTGCAGAAGAAGACGAACGACTTTTGGTTTCCACGTATTGCATCATGCCGACCACGTCAAAACAAACCGAGAGGCAAAGGACTCATTGCAAGAAACCAACGACTTTTTGCTTCCAAATGTATGTTTCGCAAAGAAAGAACATCAAGCTGGGGAACCCCGGCGCATGAGAACGCAAAGTTTGCAGAAACCGACAAGATTAACCTGGCTTACTCGACACCAAGTGAACACTTGCACAGAAAGCTGGCTGTGCAGCCACGTGCTGAGGACGTGACATGCGCTAACAAATGTCTGTGCTGCAAATGCCTATCGAAGGCCTTTCGGAATGATCGGTGTAAATCCTGCTGACGCAGCTATGATAAGATCGGGTGAGACTGCTTGGCTGGCTTGGTGTGCGTCGTGTTCCTCGTTGAAGCTCTGAAGCGACCGACTCGAAGTCCTCTACCAGCTTCACCTGAAGTGACCTGCACGAAACGTCCACACTTCCGACTGTCCGCCCTGATGAATGGGAAAGAAATCACAACATGACAGCAGAGCACATGCAGAGCGACGACACAAATAAGCCTCTTCTGTCAGGCTCCAGGGTGTGAGCCTCCAATCACAGATGCTGCGGCTGTGAACGACAAGTAAAATTGTGGCAGCTAGGCACCATGGCTGGTTACCTGTTCAACATCGATGCTCGATGCTCACTGAGGCCACAGCTGGACTGAGCGTGGCAGAAGCCAATCCTCGCGCGGGTCAGAGCTTTGCAGATGAGCATGCAAAGCTCTGGTGCTTCCCAATTACAGAAGGCAGGGACATGCCTTCGTGACCATAACCAGCACAAGCCAAGGTGGCTCGCCTGCTGAGCAACACTTGAATGTTCCCTGGCCTGCCTTTTGGCTTGGCAAGCCTTTGAGGAGACGTGGGTGGAGTCTCATCAAGCTGAAGGTACAGAAGGTCGTAGTGACCTGGCCTCAGAAGTAGGCAAACCGACACGACTGCTGGACGGGCCACAGTTCTGGGGGCACTGCCGCAGCTGCACATGGATCACGAATTGGTCCACCGGCTGTCCTTGGCAGGCAGGGCAATCTTTGGCACAGAGAGTTGGACAAGTGCACGAGCCTTCGTCCACGGGCGGCATGTAGTCTTCGAAGACAAGTCCAGCCTGCTCACTCCTGGCATCCGAATAGATCTCGAATATATGCCCGTTTGGCCCAGGATGCTCTTTCCGATCGTTCTTTCTCTTTATGTATATATAGATGTGTAGACACATGTATGTATAACAACACTCATCTGTGTGCATATGTATATACACTATATGTAATATGTATATACACATAAAATATATACACACACATTCATACATACACACACGCATGATCGGATATTTGTTGTGTCTCTGCCAGCAAACTGGCACATGTCATCACATCCTCGTAGTTAATGCTACAAAGCAACTCTGTATTATGTACAAGTATCCTCATGTTATGTGAATGTATAACAATAAACCTGAACTCTGCAACATGGAATTCGAAAACAACATCGTACTGGAAAAGAACATGATCACCAAACTGCCACTTGCAAATTTCTTGATTAAATTCCTGGCAGGAGCGGGCATGTGACACCGCTGCAGCTGAATCTCAGATATCTTCACATTACCAGCAATCTTGACTGCAAAACGGACTGTGATCTGCTGTCCTGCAAAACCTGCTAGTAGTTTATGCTAATATTTACATTCACGCCTGTACTGGCAGTCATGAGTGTTCTCAAACCCAGTTCTACATTACACTGCTCCATACTACTACGGTATACTAACTACACAACAACTTGCTACACGTTACTTGTACACGTATCTCCCCTAAGCCATACAATCGGAAGGTAGGCGCAGGAAGGTTGGAAGCGCTCATAGTGGTGCTACTAGTAGTAGTAGTAGTAGTAGTAGTAGTAGTAGCAGTAGTAGTAGTAGTAGTAGTAGTAGTAGTAGTTGTTGTTGTTGTTGTAGTGGTAGTGGTAGTGGTAGTGGTAGTAGTAGTAGTAGTAGTAGTAGTAGTAGTAGTAGACTAAGGCAGCTAGGGTTTCGGCTTTGACATCGAAACTTCATTTCTAGTCAACTAAAAGTAGAAGTATC